TGTAGATATTCTATCCAGAGTGACCCGGAGCCTGCTGTCCGTGTAGATATTCTATCCAGAGTGACCCGGAGTCTGCTGTCCGTGTAGATATTCTATCGAGTGACCCGCAGCCTGCTGTCCGTGAAGATATTCTATCCAGAAAGAAGAGTCTGCTGTCCATGTAGATATTCTATCCAGAGTGACTAAATTCTGTTATTGGTGCTTTAATATTGCCTTTTTGTGGTGTTTTAGGATATAATGACTTTAAATTTACATTACATATTTTTTTCAGGTCCTTCAAATTTAGAAAGACCATCTGTACCCAGAACAGAAAACCTACAATGTCTTACATTTAATGTTCTGTTAAACTGAATTCCTGTTCCCTTCCAAGCTACAAACAAAACACATTTTACTTATTTTTTTAGATGCTCACTATATTGAATAACTTTAAAAAAATCATAGAGGAGGAAGAAATGGAGTCAGCACCCCATCAGATTGTTGCAGTTGGCGTTCACTGGAACAAGCACATAGAGAATCTAATCAAGGAATTCATGTGCGACCCCTACCTCGTGCTCACCGCCTTGGAAGAGGCTGCCCTGTATGGCCGGGTCCAGCAGGTAATGTGTCCATGTGTGCATATCCTTTGGGGGTATAGAGAACAGGTAAGCACAAGCCAAGATGCCTGTATTTCGTGGCTTTTTAAAAAACAAACAAACATTTTATTGACAAATTCATTTATCACACAATTCAGTGGTTTAAATATATTGTAAAGAGCTATCACCACAATCCATTTTAGAACATTTTCTTCATTCTTGTATCTATTTTTATTAGCTCCCCATTAACCCCTAACACCACCTTCCCATTCCAGAAACCTAACGAACTATTGATCTAGTCACTGTCTAGGTGGATTGTCTATTCTGGACTTCATATAAAAAACCCTAACAGTGAGAACAAAATAAAAGATAGAAAAGCCTTAATCCCCAAAAGCAGAAGATTAATGGAGGCTAGGACAAGTTGAAGATGGGCCAAAAGGGAACCAAATGATCACGTTGAGTATTAACTATATCTTTAGTAATCCCCTCTCCAATGCAGTCTGTGGGCAAGGCTATTCACACCCCTGGTCAATGGACTGGCCCAAGGGCTTCCAACGGAGGCATAATTCATGTGGAGACTGCCATTGCATTTGGGGTCTGGACTCATTCATGTTGTTGTTGCGGCTGTTGGTTCCAGCTCATAGGCACCCCTGTACAACAGACGGCAACACTGCCTGGTCGTGTGTCATCCTCACAGTTGTTAGGTTTGAGCTTATTGCTGCAGCCTCTGTATCAGTCCACCGTGTCAAGGGTCTGCCTCTTTCTCGCTGCCCCTCTACTTTGCCAAGCATGATGTCTTTCTCCTGACAACATGCCCAAAGAACTTGAGACTGAGTCTCCCCATTCTTGTGTTTTCTGGGGAGCATTCTGGCTGTTTCTCTTCCAAGACAGATTTGTTGGTTCTTTTGGCAGCCCGTGGTGCTTTATTCTTCGCCAGCACCATCATTGAAATGTATCCGTTTTTCAGTCTGCCTCGTTCAGTGTCCAACTTTCACATGCCTATATGAATCCGGCGCACCTTAGTCCTCAAAGTCCCATTCTTGCTGTTTAATGCTGTAAAGAGGTCAGGCAGCAGACTGGCTCGGTGCAACGCATCTTTTGATGCCTTGACTGCTGCCTTCTTGGAGCATTGATTGGGGATCCAAGCAAGACAGAGTCATTGACAACCTCGGCCTTTCTTTCATTGATCAGGATGTAGGGTTGTTGGTCCAGTTGTGAGGATTTTGTTCTCTTTACATTGAGTTGTTATCTCCACTGAAAGCTGCAAGCAGTGCTCCTCATCAGCACCTGCTTTTCACGTCCCCCTTCCTGCCAGCTACCTGACTTGTGCCATCTGCAGGTCTCAGGTGGTGAACACGCCAGTCCTGATGCCACATTCTTCTTCATAGAATCCAGCTTCTCTGATGATTTGCTCAGCTTACAGGTTGAATAATTAAGGTGCTGCACACCTTTCCTGATTTTAAATCATGCAGAATTCCCTTGTTCTATTCACTCAACTGCTTCTTGATCCATTTACAGGTGAACATGTTATGAATTTACACCGTATCTGTCGTTTACTCTTCAGGTTGTGCGTCTTTGTCTAGAAAGTGAGAAAACTTCCACTTTACTTCATACGCTGGATTTCATTCCAAGTCACGCCCAAAAGACCTTGGTCTTCACCTGCTCTGTGGCCGAAACAGAAATAGTGTGTAAGGTGAGCTCATCCACACGTACCGACAGCCCCCGACCCCATGCTTGGAAGTCGGATGATAGATGGCGAAAGTTACCAGCACAGTTAAAAACGCAGCAGAGAAACGAGGTGGATGCGGGCTCGCTGCAGGAAGTGATGGCGGGAGGAGAGAGGCAGGCAGGGACCAGACTTCCCATAGACAGGAAGGTTTCCCACTGGGGTAGCATTGTCACGGCTGCCTGTTACCAGGACCTCCTTTATAAAGACATGCCAGTGTGCTCTGTACACTCGGCTGAAGAAGATAGCAGGAGAAGTATGATCATGCCACCACAAAAGTCAGACAGGGAGGGTCAGGATTTATTCAACATAGCCTAATTTTTTATAAATTGGTGCTAAAAATGTAAAAGCACATGGCTCAGTAGAGCATCTACCTCAACAATAAGTTTCACAGACTTGTAGCTAAAGGCTTCTGTTTACTGTAAAAAAAACCACTTAAACTCACTGCCACGGAGCCAATGCCGATTCATAGTGAACCTATAAGACAGGAGAGAACTGCTCCTGTGAGTTTCGAGACTAACTATGTACAGGAAGTAGAAAGCCCGTCTTTATCCTGACCTGCAAGCTGCAGGTGGTTTCAAACTGCTGACCTTGAAGTTAGCAGCCCACCTTAACACTATGCCACCAGGGTGCCTTCTGTGTACCATGTGTACCATGTATTTGATGTCTGTGTAGGCACATGTGTAAACATGTATGTATGTATGTGTTTAAGAAGGGCAAAAGTTAGCAAAAACGTGTTTATTTTACTTGCACAAATTTGTGTATTAGAAATCCACTGCCATCAAATCAGTTCTGACTCATAGCAACCTTAGAGGGGGTTTCTGAGACCGAATCTTTGTAGGAGCGGACCTGCTCATCTCTTTCCCGCAAAGCACTGGGATTAGCAGTCCAGTCCCTAGCCCACAGAACCTGCAGGACTCCTTAAGCAATCAGGAACGTTTGGAACTGTGCATCTGAGAACCTGTCGTCATTTCATTCTCTAGAGCCCCTGGGCCAGTGAGATTGTAACTGATAGTTGAGCCTCCAGGTGCCTCCACAGTCTGCTCTCCTATAAATCTGGCAGTCTCACGGGAGAACTGAGGCCTGATCCTGAGAGCATCATAGCCCAGCACGCTCTCCCCAGCAACACGGGATCGCCGGGAGTTGAAGCAACTTGATGGTAGCGGATTTGGTTTTTTAATATTGATAACTGCTAGCTCCAAGCTTATGGGTCTGACTGAATTGGCCTCTTTGGTTTCATCTCTAGGTAGTAGAAAGCAATTCAATATTTTGCTTGAAAATGCATAAGGAAATGGTTTTTAACTTAAAAAGTGTTTCAGAACAGTGGAAGAAGAAGTTAAGTTCTGGCTCTCACATTGTATTGGGTAAGTGTTTTCTATTTGAATTTAGAGACGGTTGAGCTAATAGAAATCATACCTTCCTTTATATGAGATTAGGCCCAAAAGTATTGCTACAGAATTTTAAAACTAGAGCCCTTCATTAAACAAGAATATCAAAACTTGAAACTTGCTTATTTGACACCTCCTCCATCTAGGTCTACACACTTCTGATGGTGGTGTTTCCATTTCTGACCCGTCCACCAAATATCCTTTGACCTTCAGTCTATACCACATCAGAAATACACTTCTGGCATCCTCGAAGGAGTCAAAAAAAAATGTTATTTTTCGGTATCTTTTGAGTTGGGGAAACAAAATGAAGTCGAAGGGTCAAGATCAGGGCGGTAGGGTGGATGGGTAATGTTTCCTAATGACATTTTTCACTGGACAGCTCTTACCACCCTTGTACCACCCTTGAAGAGTAAGCCAGGTTCATTATGATGGGGGAAAAACTTTCTTTTTTAAAATCACTTTATTGGGGGCTCGTACAGCTCTTATCACAATCCACACATACATCCATTATGTCAAGCACATTTGTACATTTTTGCCATCATCATTTTCAAAACGTTTTCTTTCTACTTGAGCCCTTGGTATCAGCTCATTTTTTTCCCTCCCTCCCCCACCCTTCCTCCCTCACAAACCCTTGATAATTTATAATTTTTTTTTTTTATGTCTTAGGCTGACCGATGTCTCCTTTGACCCTTTTCTGTTGTCCGTCCCCCTGGGAGGGGGTTATCTGTAGATCATTGTGATCAGTTTCCCTCTTTCAATCCCACCTTCCCCTTAGCCTCCTAGTATCGCTATTCCCATTATTGGTCCTGAGGGGTTTATCTGCCCTGGATTCCCTGTGTTGCAGCTCTTATTTATACCGGTGTACATGCTCTGGTCTAATTGGATTTTTAAGGTAGAATTGGGTTCATGATAGTGGGATGGGGGGAGGAAGCATTAAAGAACTGGAAGAAAGTTGTATGTTTAGTCAGTGCTATACTACACCCTGACCGTATCTGACCCTTCTGTGAGGGGATGTCCAATTGTCTACAGATGTGCTTTGGGTCTCCACTCCGCCCTCCTCCTCATTCACATTGATATGATTTTTTTTTCTTTGATGCCTGAGGAGGAAAAACTTTTCCTGATCTATTGCTCAGCAGTACGATTTTCCATTTTTTAAAAACTTCTTAATAAACTATCATGGTCATTCTGCATCCTTCGAGAAAATCTGTCAAGTTTTCTATTTGGAAATCTGGGGGGGAAAACACAAAAAACAGTCACCACAGTACAAGCCTCCAATAAATTGATTTTTTTTCTTAAATAGCCACCACAACCTTCTGAGCCGACTTCTCTGCCTTGAGTTTAACTGGCCCAGCAGAACCCCTTGGGAGCCAGTTTTGAATTGAACCCTGTGCTCTGGACCACACTCATAAATCCACATCTCATCCCCTCACATAGTCCTCGTTAAGTCTGATCTTCTTTAAAAGATGAGTGGAGAGAGCATGTTTTTGAGCTATCTGATCTTTGAGCTGAAAGCTTGCTGAGGTCCAAATGTTCCCTTAGAATGGAAGATGCTGAACCTGTGAGATCCCAACCTCAGTTGTTGTCACGTCAGTGGAAAGGCAACCAGTATCTGGACGTCAGCCACAGTTCCTTCCTTCTTCAAGGTTAACAGTTTGCCCTTAGCTCAGCCTTGAGGTCTTGGTAAAGTAAGAGGGTCAGTGGACAAAGAGGAAACTCCTCAAGGAGATGGACTGATAGGATGAGTACAACATTGGGTTCAAACGAGACTAAGTCAAGTTTACTACAGACAGCACTTGTCTCCAGTCTCCCACTGGTTCCAAAGACATGTTTAAGCGCATGTTTTATAATAAACCCATGCAGTGAACTGTAGCCCTCTTAGCAATACCCTCACATATCTCGTGTCCAAATTGACAGTTCACATAATTACTGAGGTGTACTAGTGGTGTTCATTTCTAAATGAAAACCTCCCATACAGTTTTGACTTTGAGGTGGATTTAAGGGGCCCCCGGGCTCTCAGATCAGTAGGCAGTGACTCTTAGTCTAGAAATGCTTCCTGGAGTTCCAGCTACAGTCACTGTCATAATTAAAAACAACACAAAGATTCTACGTACCAATATTCCTGTACATCTCACATGCCACAGCAACATGCGTATGCACCGCCAGTGAAACATGGTCCGAAATGATGATTGAACGTGTTGCCGTGTTAGAATTGTAAAAGTGTAAACAGTAAGTGAAAAATGGATGAGCAGCTGGACTTGTGATAGAATGGAGATTTTCTCTTTTATTTCCCCATGCTGACAGGGAGATAGATCCCTGTTCTCTGGGATGCAGTTCCTGGGAATGGTGGGGAACGGCAGAACAGGCCCTGCGCGGGAGAGGTGAAATGCAATAGGGGATGTGATCAGGTCTGGGCATTGGGACTCCTCTGGAAGGTGAGGTCTCATGCAGCCTGAGGTGACCTTGTTGGGCTCCTTTCCCCAGCTCTCACCGATGACTGCATACCTCTTCTGGCCATCACCGATGCCACCTGTGTGATTCACTTCAGCTTCCCTTCCTCACCCAGAGTTTTTGGTGGGCGTCTGTATTGCATGTCTGATCATTTCCAGAGTGGACCAGAGCAGGTTTGATTACTTTTTTCCCTTACCGCCCATTGCCTCCATCCGTGCACTGAGGGATCCAGGGTGCAGAGTGCTCAGCTGCAGACACTACATTGGTGACCCACTTCCTTTCTCCTCCCTGGTTTAAAGGGTTCACTTCCAGAGCAGGGAGCCAGGAGAACCAAATCTGTCTTGCTGCTCACGGAGAGAAACGCATGCCACGCGGTTGGTGTCCTGCGCTACTTGGAGCGGGCAGATGCCCAAATCCCGTCGGAGCTGTATGAGTTCACCGCAGGGGTTCTGGAAGCCAAAGAACATGAAAAAGCCAAGAGGCCTCTCTGTCCATATCTTAAGGCTTTTGGTTTTTGCAAGTAAGTCAGCCTTCTTTGTTTAAAAAAAAAAAGTGCCCTATAACGTAGCTCGCAGTGTACAGACAGGAATCGGTAATTATCTGTGCACCTATCCAACCAGCACCCAGCTCTTCAGGGAGCACCCTGATGACATGTGTAAGTACATCACAATTATATATCCACCCTCCCGTTAGTGGGCTTTGTGACTGTGTGTATGTCTCATAGTCAGAAAGACACCCCTTTCTCTTGAGCAGTGCAGGGCAGTGAGTTATTTAATGTGGCGGCTCTATAGCCATAGCCATTTGTGCTCTAACCAAATGACCTTCGTTTTCCTCAGGTCTGGGTTAGAAGGAGGGGAAGATTGAGTGGGTTATATGATTCAGCTGTGCATGATTGTCAACAGGGTTAATGATGGTTGCCATTCTGCTGGGTGGAGCAATCTCAGAAGCAGAAGGTCAGGGGATTTTGCTACCAGCAAGAGAGGACAGCCAGAAGGGGAGCACGTTGTTTGGACCCCAAGACCCTTGGACATCTCGAGCCTTCTTGATCCAGCAGACAGGATTAAGTACACTTAATTCAGGGAGCTGGGTTTTCTGACCCATATAGCTGCAGTTGAGTGTCTTCAAGTTGAGGCTTATAGTGGAGGGGTGTGCCCTTTGAGCATTTATTAGTAGCCCTAAAAGAACTTTGTAACATTGCTGGAGCAGCCAGAGGCCAGGCCAGGAGGCTGAGAGCCAGGTGGAAGTTTGCTTGCGGGCACAGTGAAAAACTATCCTGACCATTTCTTACCTGAACTCTAATGTGTGTGTAAATGTCCTTAATAACTCCCTTAACCTCTCATACTGTTTGTGAGGTCTCCGTGGGAGGAGGGTTGGAAGGTGGGATCCTCTCTAACTTCAGCCTCATGGAAATGGACCTTAGGGCATTGTGGATATAGACTTTGCAGCAAGTTTGCTCTTTGTTTGTGTTTTCATAGACATTTTAGAATCAGCTTCTCAATTTTTGGGAAAACCGTGGTGGCATTTTTATAGGGATTTTGCGTTATTTCTGTGGGTTGATTTGGAAAGTTTGTCCTGCTAACAATCATGGGGGCCTGCCTCCCTCAGCTCAACATAACGCCAGTGCTTGAAAGATGGATGGCAGGGGGTGGGGTAGAAGGTGTCTGCTGCACATTGGATTCAGCTTAATTTTAAGGTCACTGTTGACCTTAACTCTTACGACTTACGGTCCATCGAGCAGTTATTTCCATTGTGCCTTTATGTAGAGTATTGACTTTTGAAACTTCCAACTATTTTTCAGTTTGGAATTGCAATTAAAACTTGAGATTTTAGAGGTCAATTGGCCTTTATTGTGGTTATACTGGTGTGTTTCTGTTCAGGGGTGTTTATTTTGGAATTATATTTTTGTTCATTTATATAATGCCTGTAAGATTGTATGGAGCCAATTAAATAACTATTTCCCTTCATCTTACTCCATGATCATTATAGTTCAGGACCCCTTTCCATCATTCCAGGAGCGTTGGTGGCATTGTGTGTTGCTAACTGCAAGGTCAGCAGTTTGAAACCACCGGCCTTCCTGTGGGAGAAAGATAAGACTTTTTACTCAGAAACCCATTCTTTCTTCATTCTCTTACCTATCGTCAGTGCCATCTAAAGTCTTTCATATGGTTATTGAATTTTAAGGATGGTTGGAATGAAAGCTTTTCGATTTCCATTGCAGGTTCATTTTCCTGAAGAATACTTAAGAATTCATGATAACAATGATTACTGGGGTTATTCCTTCTCCTAGTTTTAAAGCCCACTTGCTCTTTTTCAGAGACAAAAGGATCTGTCCCGATCGACACTGCATTAATCCAGAAGTGGATGTGCCAAGGAGATTATCTAACCACGCACTGCCAGCATCTGGGTACATTAAAGTAGGTCTCGTGAAAGTGATAAAATTCTCGGCTCTTCGTCGGAAATAGTGAGGCTTCCAGTGGGCAGTCTTAGTGCACCATGTGGCCGTAGACATTTGGGAACTTACAAAATTCCTGTGTCAATACCCTAGCTATTTAAGAAACCAAGGCCAGATTGGAAAGAGGGTAACCCTTCACAGTTTAGGAATTTTTCTAGTTGTGTTTTCAGAAAATGTAAAGACTTCTTTCTTAAAATATAAATATCTTGTATATGTAAATATATATCCTTACTATATATACAAAACATAAATATATCTCTACTATATAGATCTACACACGTGTGCGCACACATACCATAGTGTTTTAGGATAACACACATCCGCTGTTGCCATGGTGAGGGCCTCTCCCATCCGTGTGAGAAAAGAGGCCCCAGGAGTTAGATGGAGAAGAGGAAGTTGTGACTGAGGTGGGAATTCAAGAGTCAGAAAAGATGGCGTTGGGGTCTTCAAGGCTGCAAGAGAGTAGAATGGTGGGTCAGAGTTTGATCGTGATGTTTTGTTGGTATTTCCGGTAGGCCTTTGCCGGGGACTGTTGACTGTTGAGTTGTCCAGTGGGCTCCATGGCTTGTCTTTGTCCACACCCCCACTGCTGGAAGCTTGCGTTGTTTCCATCTGAGGAGGGTTGAAAGTAGCGCTGGATATGTTGACTCTGTTTCAGGTGATACCGTTTTACATTTCGACTGCAACAAGTTACTTTGGCCGTCTCATTGATAAATGTGTGGATCTGTATGAAACTCTGAATGCTGAGATGACTGAGTATTTTAAAGGCTGCAGTAATAAAATTATGGCCGAAAAGGTGGAGAAATTCGGGTTATATGGATTAGCAGAAAAAACACTTTTCTACAGGTAAAATGCCCATCTCTCAACGTTGTCACATGCAAGGTCTGACCCGATGGTATTGAGTTCCCATGTTTTCCCTGCTGTCTTTTCGACTTGCGTGTACACAAATGAGCCTGGCCGACCCCCGGCCACCTGGCACAGTTCTACATGTGACACTCCACCATTGGCTCCTGACCCCAGACCACAGGTAACATTGTAACAACTGGCGTGTATTGAGCAGCCACTGCATGCTACATACATTCTTGCGGAAACCCTAAGAAAAGAGCGTCATCCCCATTTTCCAGAGAAGGCCACGCCTGCTCGGAGAGCATGTGTGCCTGTCAAGGTCAGCTCCGCAATCGCGGGCGCCCACGGGCCTGCGTGCAGCCACGGCCCTTGACTGCCAGGCCTGGCGCCGTTCTTCGACCGTTTGGGAAATGTGATATGCTGTGTTCATTTCGTGGTGTTTTCAGTAAACGGACTGACTCTTTTCAAAAATACTGCATGCTATTTGCTATCTGTACACACTTTCTAAACATTTTTCAACAATTTCATTGGCGTATACATCGTATATCAGACAACTCAATAGTTCAGCCGTGTGAAGAGTGGTGCACTTTTCTTTGAAGGAGCCCCAGGAGTTCTGTGAGAGAGGGTCCCTGGTGATCTGCCAGTTTTGCTGTCCCACGGGCCCCCTGCACTATGAGCTGGAGTCTGCTCAAGGGCAGCCAGCCACACACTTTGACGGAAAAGGCCCCCAAGAAAATGCACTTGAAGGCCTTGGCTCCATTTCTAGGAGCGAGTCTCTCGGTCTAGGGGTCAGTGTGCACCTTGTGTGCATTAACACCCGGGTCGATGCAATGCTGCCCTCGCCAGTGTCTCTGTCACGCTGTTCCAGGGTTCAGGTGTTGGAGTTGAGCCAAAAAGAAGACGCGTGGGCTCTGGACAGTGTCCTTGTGAAGTTCATAGATGAAGGCAGGACGGGGCTCGTCACAAGAGACCAACTATTGCACCTCCCCGAAAGCTTCCATACCCTTCCCCCACAAGCTGTGGAGTTCATTGTTTGTAGGGTGAAACCAGCTGACAATGAAATGGAATGGAATCCAAAGGTGAGTAATTTGGTCTTTTTACACCTGAGTGTAAAGATGTTTAGACTATTTTTAGAATGTGTAGAATAACTTGAACTCAGAATTGGGAAAAGGAGGAGGCTTTGTACTCGGACACTCACAGGGCCATCCTGCACTGTCCTCTAGGCCGCCTGTGAGTCGGCACCAAGGGTGGCAGTGAGAACACAGAATTGAGGCTTGTCGTTGGAATTTGGAGTGTTGAGTGGGGGGATTTGAAATGGCAGTCAGCCTCAATCCCAGCCAGTGCAGGAGTGTCCCAGCAGCTGCTCCACAGAACCCCTCCCCGAACGTTTATTGAGGGACTTGTCACTGTTGCCGCCGGTATGAGTGCTCACAGACGTGGAACTAGCATAGAACACGGTGTGTGCTGAAGCCAACGTGGCTGCAGGTAAAAGTAAAAGAGGCCTTGTGCGCGCCTCCAAAAACAGACGCCCCAGAAAACCGAGCCGTGCAGACATGAAGAGACAGCCCATGGCCAGCAAGAAAGAAGGACCAGGAGTGAGACATGGCCAGGACCCGAGCCTTGACAGGCGCTGGGGAGCGGCTCTGAGACCTGGAGACGGCACAGGGCGTCCCAGCCCGTGGAATGAGTAAAGCTCAGTGAGTGCAGGAGGTGGGCTTGCAGAGCGGCTGCCATGTGGGCGTTTATCAGCATGAAAGGGTCTTAGAATGCTTGCCCGAGCAAGGCAGTGGTCAAGTGGCTCAGAGGTTGAGGACCAGGAGGCATATCTGCCAGCATAGCCGAGAAGAGGCATTATGGCCAAAATAACTGCATCCCTAGTATTTTGGAATCATTCTCCCTAATAAACCCTGCAGTTATAAAACAAAGCCAAACCAGATACCCCAGTCACAGGGGGCCAATGTGATTGGAAGCCTCTGGAGGGGTCAGCAGGATGGACGAGCACAGAGGGTGAGCCCGCAGCCAGACAAGCTTCCAGAGAAAGGGGCATTCCTCTGGACCCTGTGGGGACCTGGGGTGTCGCTGAGCAGAGCAGAAGGCAGAGAAGAGAGCCTGCACCCAGCCTTGAGCTCAGAGTGGTCTTGTGTGGGCTCGGGCGGCTGCCCAGGGCGGAGTGAGGGGACAGACAGACGGCACTGCTCTTCAGGGAGCCCTGTCCCCTGCTCTTCACAGGAAGGAAAGCTCAGTGGGGTACGATTCGAGCTGTGGGATACAGAGTAAGTTATCTCATTGGCACTGTGAAAACTTGGGTTCTAAATAAGGAAGTAAACAGGTAACTGTTTCCCCAATACAGAGTAGACCACAAACCTTGCTGTTGTGAGTTTAGTAGTAATGGCCTTTTAGTAAGAATCATTCTGTTTTCCGTTGTGCCAGAAATATGCACCAAGTGCCTATTGGTGGCCATTTCAGGGCAGAGCGCTTGCCTTGGGCACCACTTGGTTAGTTAAGGTGGCCGGCCCCTGTGTTGTGAAGAGCAGCCATCTTGGAAATGGGGAAGGTTGTCTGATGTGTGTACTTCCAAGTATCTATGCAGTTCAAGGAGGAAGGGAACGGTGTCATGGGCTGGGGTTGGGGACTGCCCCCTGCTCGGCACTAGTGAGGCTAGAGAGTGTTCACTGAGCGCTGCGGGTTGTGGCCCCGGGTGAGAGGATAGGGCTCCACAGTCAGGCAGTGTCCCTTTGCAGAGTGGCCTCATCACTGTGGCCTCCTCTGCCACGTCGTCACTGTCACTGCACTCCAGCAAGCCCAGTGGCACTGTGAGAGAGGAGGGAAGGCGCTGAGCTGGGAGGGGGACCTCGGCTGCCGCTCTGCACCTCCAGCGTGCTCCATCCTGCCCGAGGGACGGCAGATTTTGATAGAAGCCCAGGCCGCGTCCACCGGCCATGGAGAGCACGGTGCCAGCTGCGCTCAGGGCCCTCGTCACTCTTGGCTTTGTTTGTCTCCAGGTCACCAGGTACATTCATCACAAAATTACTGGAAAGGTGCATGACGCGAAAGTGGAACTGGCTTTGGGAAATACCATTTGGATCGATCCAATGGTAAGCATGCTGTTTCCTTAAGAAGAAATCTGTTCGCGTGGTCCTCACAACTGTCCACATCAGTTTAACAAGCATACACCTCACAGCCAGAAGTGCTGCTTGCCTCTCCGGGAGGGATCCTTGTCCGGGGCTCTGCTTTAGGGGGAACCGGCTTGGTCTGGGGTCATTTGGGTTATGAATTTGGTGGCAGGTTTCACTCGGTTTCTTAGGGAAGTATTTTACAGGATACCTGCCCACCCGCCCCTTCCCCCTGAAACTGAAGTTTTATGAAGCTATACTTCATGAGAGGCTTCGAAAAGTTCATAGGAAAACTCCAGCTCTTTTGATTTTGGAGAAAATGGACTGCTTTTGAACTATTGTAATTACATTTCATTTCATCAGCTTGGCGTCCAGCAGTCTAAACTATTCATCCAGCCCGCAGCAGTCCCTCACCTGCTCCGCTTTCTCTTCTCCCTCCGTGGAGGCCTGTCTTCCATTTCACCCGGCCACCCCCCACTGGCAGGCCGGCCTACAGCTTTCTTCCCTTCCCTTGCCGCCCCCCCCCCCCAGCAGTCTCCAGAGCCTGTCCCTTTGAGGGTGACCATCTGTAGTGTGTGTGTCTTCGTCTTAACTATTTTCTCCTTAAAATCGTGGTCTCAATATACTTGCCCTCCTCCTTCCTCACACACTTTCTGTAGCTCTCTCACCAGTGATCTTGTTTGCTGCTCTGTTGTGTTTGGATTTTTAAATGTTGATCACTAACTTCAGAGATTTCCTAATACAGCCCATCAGACTGGAGGCCCCAGGCCTCTGCCACTGACTTTCGTAAATGATCTCAAAGTCCTAGGGACCGCCTCGGAGTTCGCAGTTCGAGGATCCGAGTCTGGGCATTCATTCCAGGTCAGATTTGATGATGTTAGCAGTTTCTGCCCTGTGTATGCAGCACCTACTACGTGCTAGGACCTGGATTGGGCACTCAGGTCCCATCTCATGGACAGAACAAGCCAAGGGATGGTGGGGAGGGCATGGGGAGAGTGATGGCTTAATGGGGCCTCGGCTCTGCTCCACCAGCACCTCTCTCTCCCCTCTCCACTCGTCCCCCCATCAGAGTTTGCAGTTAGAGTTTCGAGGTACGAGATTTTCATGTTACAATTATTCATGGTACTTTAAGGAATTCCCTTCCTAAAAAACTTGCATGAAGGTTTTCTTTTACATTGTCGGGAGAGATTTTAACATGAAAGGGGGAAGCACATGTGAGATGTAAGGATAAGAAGAAAAGCTGTGGATGACCAACACAGGCAGAAGTGTCTGAGTCTTTGCTCGTGGGGTTGGGGGGGGGCGGGAATAGAAGCTTCCTTGAGCTGGGCTCTTTTTGCCCTAAGAGAATGAAGCAGAAGAAGCGCCACCTGGCAGACAGACACACAGTCCCCACTGAGACCAGAGGCGCTGGCCCCCACCCCCCACCCCGGCACTTCGTTGGTTCCCGCCTGTGCGCAGCAGCTCCGATCCTGCTGGGCGAGGCTGCCCCTCTCCAGTTCCAGCTGGTGTTCACCCAGAGGGTGCCCGCAGGCAGGCCCGGCCACACCCCCGCGGCAGCAGACTTGTGGGTTTTCACATTTGACCCCTTTTTGAGTTCAGTGTGTGGCTGTCGTTTCACATTCAGGCAGTCTGTTAGGTCAGCCTGGGGATGCTCTGTCTGCTGAGTTTGTTTTGTAAGTCAAAGTGCACGGGAACATTGGTTGTAGAAAAGACAGTTTCTGGAGGAGAGTGCCCAGCATGCAGGATTTAGGGGCACGAGGTAGGCCCTTTGCAGGCACCTGAGAGGGCTCAGTCCTGGGCCCTGCCACCTGGGCTGTCTGCTGCAGCCTGAGCCTTGGGCGCCTCCTCATGGAGAGAGGAGGTCCGAGGCAAGCAGAGTGTGGCCTTGATCTAAGGGGCAGTCTCTGGGAGCCGGCTGTGCTTATAAGACCAGTGACCACGGCCCTACCGGGGTGGGGGTTCAATCTGGTCAAACCACCTGAACATCCTGGGGCAGGAGGGCGCGCGTATGAAAGTGTTTGTGGGTCATTTAAATTTCAAGGTGTGATTCTTGCCAGTGTTGTACTTTTTCTTTTGACTCAGGTGCACATTACAAAACTTTCGAACTTGAGGACTTCTGTCATTGACTACAACGTTCGGGCCGAGATCCTGTCTCTGGGAATGGGCGTCGAGAACTCGGAGCACACAGAGCAGCTGAGGAAGTTGTGTGGAAGAGCAGAAATGCCGGCTGTGCCAGAAACTCTGTGAGTGGATTTTTCTCTCCCCGTGAAGGAGCGGCAGTGTGCAGATAGCACTCGCGAGCATTTTTTTTAACCAACGTGTAGGGAATAGTCTCCTGTCCCTCTGCCCGCATCACTTAGCTCCGCTGATGGTCGAGTCTTTCAGCTCTGCTTTGTCTGCTACAGCCGGCAGCCATGTCTTTGATAGGTGGGTGTGAGGTGCTGTAGTCACTTCCTGTCTACCACCAGCAAACACTGCGGCCCTGCGCCGTCCTCACAGCGTCCTTGTGCATGAGCCCATCTCGTGGAGGGCCTTCCCGCTCGCTGCCCTCTCTTTACTGAGCCCGATGCCCTTCTCCAGGGCCGGGTCTCCCCTGACAGCATGTCCAGACTACATGAGACGAAGTCATGCCATCCCGGCCTTCAGGGGCGCTCTGGCTGGACGTTTTCCAAGACAGGCTTGTTTATTCTTTGGCGGTCCACGGTACTTCCAGCACCAGTGTTCTTCACCAGAGGGGTTTTATGATACAAATGCAGAAGAATGAAGAGGAGGACCCTTACCTTACACCACTAAAAAAATAACTCAAAATGGATCCGTAGAACAAAATTTAAGGGCGAACACTGTAAAATGCTTAGCAGAAAACACCAGTGAACTTGGAGTGAGCAATCCTGTCTTAGCTGTGACCCAAAAAGCACAGGAAGTAAAAGAACAATGGACAAGCTGGACATCATCATAATTGTGTGCCTCAGGAGAGTGTAGACAACTCACAAAATGGGGGCGGGCCTGCTGGCCGAGAGGCTGCAGTCGGAGAACCCACAGAGCCGGTCTGCCTTCATAGTCGCTGTGAGTCGGCATCCACTCGCTGGCAGTGGTTTTGACAGATGAGTGTAAGGGTTTATACACAGCATACAAGGAGTTCCTGCAACTCAACAATAAAAAAATAATTCTGTTGAACATTGGCGAAGAACTTGAATCGATGTTTCGTCAGAGAAATTACAGAATGGTTGATAAGCACTTGAGAAGCTCAACGTAATCACTAGAGAAATACAGACCCAAAGCACAGTGAGATGCCGCTCACACCCATGAAGCTGGCTCGTATCAGAAACA